ACACTGAAAAAACAATAGGAATACTCGTTGGGGGGCTCGGAAGAGAATATTTGATCCACCCACGATTCACGTTAAGTAGAGTACATGAGTGATATGAACAAGTTCTAGTTAAGTAGATTTTGACCACAAAAAAAAAAAAAAAAGATGCAGATTCACGGCCAGATTTATATCCCATTGCGATGGGAAGCAACATTTTCGTTTTTTTTTTTTTTATAATCTCAACGGGTACGTTACAAGTTGTCTATGCAAAGCCCCACGACCAGGACAGAACTCTTTACCGTATCCGGAAGTCTGTCATCATCATCATCATCATCATCATCATCATCATCATCATCATCATCCAATTGCATGTTATGTTCATATAAGCGGGTTCTTACATGGGCCCGTTTTCACCTAAATGGGCGATTTGGCTCACATTGCTTTAGACTTGTTATCTCTGTTAAAACCGTCAAACATCCTTTGTGGTCTTCTTTCAAGTCTATAAAATGGCGGGGGAAAAAGCCCATTAGTATAAGAATTAAACAAGACTTCATATGTACAGGTCTCGTTAAGATGAAACAGGTGCACCCATATTGTAATTTACTACAAGAATTAATCAAGTACGTACATACAGTAATTTTGGGAATCCAAACGTAAAAAATAATAAGAAATACCAAAGGAAAACCCAAAGTTACATCGCGTCAACTAAGATAATTAAATTTAGTGAAAAGTCATTTCTCATCGATTCATCCAATTGTTCATATATATGCCGGGAAAATTGTTGTTCAAATTGTCTGTATAAGGTGTAAGTGTGTATATATGTAATTCGAACGTAAAGGATCAAAGACGTTGACTTCAAAGCAATATAGTTGACTCTATATGTATATCAAGCATTATATCCTGTAAAGAATATATATATTTTTAATTTCCTACGTGTACATCGATCGTTTATCTTTGATGGGATTCAAGAGAGCGTATTTTGTGTCACACGAAACCACTTCGCTCACTCAATCAACTTATATCTATACACTAAAAAGATTCCACGGAAATAAAAGGCAAATCTTGAAATTCTTGTTTACAAAAACATTCGGTATACATATTCACTACAATAATTATGATTTGAAATAAACATTCGGTGTATATATATATATATATGTATATATTCTTGGTTATCCTTTGTTTGCGAATGCGTTCTCACCCTTTTCAAACACATTTCTATCATCAAATAACAAGAGATACAATGCCCTAACATGATGTAAAAACACACACTATATGCCAAACGGTTATGAAGCAGTTCGAATATTTCATCTTAGTTTTATCGAAAATGAATTCAACCATTTTTTTTAGGCATATATTCACTGATTTTCGTCACAAAAAACATGTTCATTTGCGACGAAAACAAATAAAATGAACTGAAACCAAATTTATCAAACCTCGAATTACTGAAATTCAGAGGCAACATCAACTTTCTTCTTGGACAGTTCGTAGTCCATATCTCTTCTTCTTCGGGTTCTTTACCTCCATCTTATTTGAAAACATTTCTAAAACAAATGCATGCATCGAACGAGTCCTAAGCTGTTTATTCTTTGTAAGAACTAATCCATAATATTGCCTTAACAAAGCTCTTGTATAGTAATACCTTCTGCTTCATTTAGAAGCTCTTTTACTAACGAAACCTTCTGTTTCATTTAGAGGCTCGTGTCTCCCACCTGCTGGGACGCTAGGTCAAACATTATAAGCACGAGACGTGGAGCTTGGTGCAGCCTACGAATCATGTAAGTCGGTTTACTCGCAACTCTTTCATTTGCTTTTCGGAAGAAAAATTTGATTGCGAGAGAAAAAAAAAAACAGGGAAAAAAAAGAGAGCAATAGATTTGCTTTTGCTTCTTTCTTTCTTCCTTTTTCCTTTATTGATTACTAGAAGTGTGGATGCTAACACGCTAACCCTGATCCAAAATCTACTGTTTTTTTTTTCCTGATTTTGATTCACAAAAAAAAAAAATTGATTCTTTGATCTCCAAAGTTTCGATCTTTGTTGTTATTCTTATCTGATTGTCAATCTGAAGCAACCTGTTCGTCTGAATCTACGAACTTTCTTCTGTTTTCATTTTTTGCTGCTGAAGATTTGCGAATCTGGGTTTATTTCATCGTCTTCATGTCCGGGAGGATTTCATTTTTGGCAAATCCTGTTCCGTGTCATCACCTAGCTGATTATAAGCTAAGATATGGTACCGATGGATACAACTCCTTCCAAAACTTCTTCACAGCCTTCAAGAACGGAAGAACGAAGATCAAACTGGATCATTCGGATATACCCAGATGCAGTTCTTGTGGTGTCCTTCATGACAGACTCTATATCTGCTTAATCTGTCGTTTGATTTCTTGTTCAAGCCATACTATTTCGCATACCCAGACCAGAAATGGCCACGATATCGCGGTTGACGTCGAGAGATCCGAGCTTTATTGCTGCTCTTGCTGTGATCAGGTGTACGATCCTGATTTCGATGAGGTTGTCGCGTCTAAGCAGCTCATGGGTCTGGGTATTCCCATTAAAAACGGGCCCGATGTTGCAGCGACGAGATCGAGCAAGAAGAGGAGGTTGGACCCGGAACTAAACGGATCAAAGCTTGTTGTCTTGTCCAGAGATCGAAGGGAGAAGTGGGCATTTCCTCTAGGATTGCGGGGTCTGAACAATCTGGGCAGCACTTGTTTCATGAACTCGGTGTTGCAAGCTCTGGTTCATGCTCCTCCTCTGAGAAACTTTTGGCTAAGTGGTCAGCATAACCGTGATCTATGTCTGAAAAGATCCGTGAATCGGTTGTGCTTGCTCTGTGATCTTGATGCTCTCTTCTCCGCCATGTTTTCTGGTGATCGGACTCCATTCAGCCCGGTTCAGTTCCTTTACAGGTCTGCTGCAAGTGGTCAATCCAATTGTCTCTCTTTAAGACTTTGTAAAATTCAGGGAATTCATTCATCTAACAACACTGCGTGTGATGTGATTTATGTTTCTTGAGTTCGTTCTAGTGAAGTTAGAGATTGAATGTTTTCATGCACATACATGCTGTAACACTGATGGATCATGTTTTCTTTTTCCCTTTTTTGTTTTGGTGCCTGAAGTTGGTGGCAGCATTCAGCCAATCTAGCTACCTACGAGCAGCAGGATTCACACGAGTTCTTCATTTCGCTATTAGACGGTATCCATGAGAACGATGGAAAGGCAAAGACTCTTCATCAAGGTAATCTTACGTGCTGATGAAATGTTGCTTCCTTAGTGCTGTGAATCTGTTTCATAACCATAGTTATCGGTTTGGAAAAATCGATGTTTCGAATCATTTGAGGCCCTTTGTATGATTGTATCTTTGTAAGTTTTAGAATCTTGTGGCTTGGTGAAAATTCCGAGTTGGTGAACTCAGTTTTGGAATTTGGATTCTTTTGTTCAAAATGCAGATCATGATGAAGAGTGCCAGTGTATAACTCACAGGGCGTTTTCCGGTCTTTTGAGTTCGGATGTGACCTGCACATCTTGTGGATCCACTTCAACCACGTACGATCCCTTTGTCGACATCTCTCTCACCTTGGATCCGGCAAATACCACGGGTTTCAGACGAAACAGACCCGATGGCCCTAGCGAGACAACAACCTCGTCAACTCTCTTAGGCTGCTTGGACTTCTTCACTCGGCCAGAGAAGCTGGGACCGGACCAGAAACTCTACTGCCAAAGCTGCGGAGAAAAGAAGGATTCTCTGAAGCAGATGTCCATAAAAAGGCTCCCTTTGGTTCTCTGCTTGCACCTCAAGCGTTTCGAGCATTCTCTGGCGAGGAAAGCCTCGAGAAAGATAGACCGGTACCTGCAGTACCCTTTCCGCTTAAACATGACTCCATACCTGTCCTCCTCCGTCCTCGGGAAGAAGTTCGGGAACAGAATCTTTGCCCTCGAGAGAGAGAGCGAGGCTGCTGCTTCATCATCGTCATCGACTGAGTTTGAGATTTTCGCGGTGATTACGCACTCGGGCATGATGGAATCGGGGCATTACTTCACGTACATACGGCTGAAAGGGATGTGGTACAGGTGCGACGATGCGTGGATAAACGAGGTGGACGAATCGGTAGTGAGAGCGTCTGAGTGTTACATGTTGTTTTATGCCCAAGAAATCGTTGTTCAAAAGGCTCTCAAGGGTCTTGGTCATCTCCCTGATAGTGATGACGACTTTGCTTTCCCTATGGCTGGTCTCTGCTGATTTCCTTCGAGGCCCATTAAAGGCCCAATAAATTTTGTTTTTTGTTCGGTTTGGGCTTCACCGTCTCGTCTCGGCCCAAGTAAACCATCTTCGTACAAGTAAATGTTTCTGTGATAATACGGGGGAAAATGGTCATATAAATAAAGAATTTTTATTCTGTAAATAAATGTATTTTTTTTTTCAAATATTTACTCATAAAGTGATGATGCGAATTGAACGATTATCGATGACGTTTATATGGTAAATTTTATAAAATTTGGTGAGATTTTCCTATTAATATTAGAAAAAAAAATATAAACAGTCATGTTTCAAATTAAATATAAATATTTCTAATTAAATATAAAAAAAGATTTTTTTCTTTGAAAATTTGAGACGGTTTCGGGCAGAGAGGGACTCGTTTTACTTCATATCCTACTAAAGAGGAACTTTGGACATGTGTGTGTATATATATATGTCCAAAGAAACTTAAACTACAGATTCCAATCAAAGAGTCCCTGTGTTTGTGGAAATGGGCTTTTTGGTCATTCTCGAATCAGAGCACAGCACCAGTGTAGTGGTGACAAGATCTTGGGGGGATTGTGTCTTTCACCCAATAAGGTAATGCCACGTAATCAAAAGACGAGAGACCTAGGTTAAAGACTTAAAGGTAGTTCTGTTTCCATGTTGGCGAACCAACCCCCACCCAAAGATGGTAGATTTTCTATGAGCTTTTTGGACGGTTTTGACATTTAGATTGGATTAAGTCTACCAAATGATTCAAAGGGACATATCGAAATTGTTTTTTTTTTTTTTTAAAGATGACGACCGACGGACGGGCAGACAGGCAGCCAATGTCTTTGGTCGTCAAACTCAACAGATGAAGCAGCTTGACTTTTCCATTCTTCTGCTTTGATCTTTGTTTGATCAATTCGTTCCTTCTTCTTCTTCTTCTTCTTCTTCTTCTTCTTCTTCCTCTTCTTGGTCTTCCATGGAAATTCGTTCAGACCAAACAGAGTCAACGGAATGAACACGCCTCGAAGTTTTCCCTTGTCCGAGTTTCACTCCATCCAAGGAAACACCCATTTCAGAAACCTCTGGGTTTGATCTGTTTTCCGCAATTTCAGATCGAGCCCACATCAAAAGTTTCGACATTTCCCACGATCCCCAGCTCTACGTCCATTGTCTTCTGCTCGAATGGAGCCAAACCTACGTTTCTTGAGCTTCTGACAAAACTTTTTTCCTGGTGGAGTTTCAATCCATCTTAAGCAACGCCCATTTCGCTGAACTCATCGTTTCGGACCCTTTTTTCGTAAATTTCAGATCGTATCCACGCCAAAAGTTTCAAGATTTTAGCGATCTCAAACAGAGCCAAATCTCCCATTCCCCCCCTGCTGTCTTACTGAACCAGTGATGGTGGAAGAGCCGAATCTCGAAAACGGCAGATCCGTCGATGCCGGCAAGGAAGGGTACTTGCGTAATTTGGTGGTGGGTCCTGTCCGGTGGATGAGGATGCTGTCGGCGGAGCTGCACTGGAGCTTTGTGTTCGGTGTGGTGTCAGTGTACGGAATAAACCAAGGGGTCGGCGGCTCGCTGGGCCGGGTAGCCACTGAGTATTACATGAAAGATGTCCAAAAGGTTCAGCCTTCTGAATCCCAGGCTCTCACTGCCATTACCAAGATTCCATGGATCATTAAGCCTCTTTGGGGCATTCTCACTGATGTTCTTCCCATGTTCGGCTTCAAACGACGGCCTTATTTCGTCTTAGCCGGTAATTGACCTTCGGATTCTGATTCTTTGCGGCTTTGTTTCAGTTCATATGATGAATTCTGTAACATGAATGCTAACACTACTGGATCAGTTCTTGAATCATCCGTTAGTTCCAATTAGATTGGAGCAAATCTTGGATTGGTTTCAATCAAGAAACGCTCAAAATGCGCGTATGTTGTGATGTTTCAGAGTTTGGTTTCTAAGGCCAAAGTTGTGTTCCAAGTATATATATATATATATATATATATATATATACACAATGGATGGATGTGTATATGTGGAATAAAACAAGTTGGTTTTGGACATATGATCATATCTATTCTCATTGAAACTATATCTATAGACTTTCCCATCGAATGCCATGTTTTCATGAATGTACATGAATCATTACATGTTATGCAGCTCTGTTAAACCTCATACGAATAAGTTTGATGGATCCATGTCATGATAGATTCAGCAAACCATTTCCATTCAAAACATAACGACCATTGTTTTGTGAGAAATTTCATTCCAGGCTTTCTTGGAGCGGTCTCTCTTCTGCTCATATCGGTCCACAGCAATCTTCACCTTTTCTTGGCGCTGTTCTGGATGACTGTAGCAAGTGCCGCAATGGCAGTAGCAGACGTTACGATCGACGCTTGCATTGCGTACAACAGCATCGAGCACCCGTCTCTTGCTTCCGACATGCAGAGCTTGTGCAGCTTCAGCTCCTCCATTGGAGCACTTCTAGGGTTCTTCATGAGTGGCATCTTTGTCCACTGGTTTGGCTCCCAGGTTAGTTTATATTATACCGATCTCCTTGATCTTGTTTGGAGTATGTCTCTTTATTGGATCCTGTTCCTTTGCACATTTAAACCCTTTGATGTATAAAGAGTTTATGACATGATCCATACAAGTGTAATAAAGTCCAGAATTATAGTTTTTTGCTGAAACAATGTACAGGAAAAAACATAAGAAACTAAAGGAGATTACCCTGCTTCTTCCTGCTGCATATGTGCTTGCAGACTCTTTTTCATGCTCTGGGCTCCTAGCAGCTGGTAATGGTGGTGGTATCCATCTTTATTACAGAAAACAAGCAATGTAAGTACAATGGTCATTCAAAGGTATAGACAACAACGAATGACCTGACACTAGAATCAGTTTCAAGGCTAACCACTTTTGGATTACCTTCCACTTCCAGTAATCATCATAAATGGCTCCATTCTCCACCTTTGAAGGGTGTCACCCTTAATGACAGAGAAAATTTCTCAGCATGTGAAACTGTTAAGCTCCAGCAGATAACATGTTTTCCTACTTATAAAAAATTTAAAAGTGTACCTGAGCGAAGGAATAGAGTCTCCAGACATAGTAAGTATGCTCTTTTGAGCCAAGCTCAAACAAGAAGTTAAAAAGAAGATTCCCACGACCCCTTTCCATGATAGCTTGTTCGAAAGCACATCCCCCATCCTGTAGGGAGTTTTCGGGTTGCTGACAGTCCCGTTTGGACTGGTAGCTGTTGTCGGAATCATGCTTAATGAACACCATGATCCCATATTCTCTTACAAACAGGCATGTCTTCTGTCTTTTGGACCAAAGTCTACTTTTATACAGCACTTCTCTTTTCTTGTCAATCTTTGATCCGCTTTGTTTGAATCAGGTGAACCAGAAGTTTATCGAAGCAGGGAAATCGATGTGGAAAACGCTCAAATGCCCGGAAGTGTGGAGACCGTGTTTATACATGTATATCTCCCTCGCTCTCAGCTTGAACGTTCACGAAGGCCTCTTCTACTGGTTCACCGACTCGAAGGATGGACCTTTGTTCTCTCAGGTGCCTTCAGATAAAACCCCAAAACTTTTTCCCCCCCAAAAAGACGAAAACTTTCTTACCCGAATTCGCATCACAGGAAACCGTAGGGTTCATCCTCTCAATGGGTTCAGTCGGGTCGATCATAGGCACTATGCTGTTCCAACTGGCGTTGAAAGACCATCCATTCCGAGGCCTTTTCATATGGACGCAGCTTCTCTTTGCCTTATCGGGAATGCTGGACATGATCCTCGTGCTACGCCTCAATCTGAGGTTTGGTCTGCCGGACTACCTCTTCGTGGTGGTAGACGAGGTCGTGTCCCAGATGATCGGGCGGCTGAAATGGATGCCGCTGCTCGTCCTGAGCTCGAAGCTTTGCCCCCACGGGATAGAAGGGACGTTCTTCGCGTTGCTGATGTCGATAGACAACGCGGGGCTGATGACGTCGTCGTGGCTCGGGGGAGTTCTGTTGCGTTTGCTGAACGTGAGTCGGACCGAGTTTGGGAACCTGTGGCTGGCGGTTCTGGTGAGGAACGTGTCGAGGGTTTTGCCTCTGTGCTTTCTGTTTCTGGTGCCAAAGGGAGACCAGAACTCGTTCCGGCTTCCGCCTGAGGTATCACTACTCGGCCAAGAAGAAGATGAAGAAGGAGGAGAGAAAGGTGGTACAAAGAGTATGGAGTTGGCTTCCCTCATTCATCCTCTCGACAGCAGATAACAGATTATGATCTCTACCCCTCCTTTTCTTATTATAGCACAGCTCTTGATAAAAATATATAATAGATTTGTCTTTGCCCTTGCTTTGATTGTGCTGCCGTTCGGTTTCTCTTACTTTGGATCCATATTTTCCTTTGAAACATTGGTTAGGTAGGCCGAAAGCCACGAGAAATTCAATCTTGAATGGTTTTCAATTATAAATCGGCACCTTTAAATCTTGTACGTTCAGACTAATCATAGTCTGTCTTTGGATCAATGCACTAAACGGTAAAAGACTACTCTAAAAGATTGCTCCATTCTCAAGATAGGGGATGAGGACCGCGGAAAAATTAGGGGTTCACTTTCGAGTTTCGACCGTGAATTTAGTTCTCTTAAATACAGAACTTCCAGTTTTGATAACAAACAGACAACTATAGAACGATTTTAAGACTGACTCTTAACAGTCTCAACCCTCTTGTCTCGTTGGCCACTCACCCTCACGCACCCACGAATAACCGAAAGTCGAGTATCCGATCATCACGGGGCCGAGACCGGTGCTCTAACCGAGAAGCCTAAGAGGGGAAAACCAAAATCAAATACGTTGGAAAACTCAGATACCCGACCCTATTCCACCGCCATCAACCAGTCACTGGTCCCTGATATAACTGTTCCATATCATTACCTTAACGGCCGAGCAGTGGCCGTTGAAGTCCGAGCCTTTTGAAGGTAAAATGAGAAACGGCTTCAACAAATAGCCACCAGAAAACAAACAACCTCAAAACAGAGAGGCTGAAATCTTTTTGAGATTGGGACCGGAACACACACAAAGTAGTACATTCATGCCGGCATACAACATTGTTTTTAGTCATCTTCTGGGTCTTTTTAAGGATAAAAAAACACAAAATCAAAGGTCAAATCTTCATGAAAAACCAACATTTTTTCCCCAAATCTTCAGCAGTGGACAAAACAATCATATATATGATCCATCACCTGATCCCTCTTCTCCGCCAATCCCTATCTCTGCCTCTGTCATGATCGTCTCTCTCGCGGCTGGTGCTTTTTTCCCGTCGTTCTTGGCCTTTGTCTTTGTATCTATCTCTGTCTCGGTCCATGTCATGATCTCTCTCCCTCGCTGATGATTTCCGTGGAGGGCTTTGGCTCTCGCTGCGGTATCTCTTTCTTGAAGACTCTCGAGATTCTTCTCGCCTCTCACTCCGATCCCCTGATGATCTCTCTGCATTCAGAAATTTCCTCGTTAGTTTGCTGTTGTCTCATTTTGGATACTCAGAGCCATGAAAATTCTCCATGCCCTGTACAGTGCTGGGGCTCTCTCTATCCAATTGTACAATACTCTCAAATAAAAACCAAGTCCAGCAACGAGGAACAGAAACAAAGTGGAGAAAGGCATAATAATCAAGCAAGGACCATCCATAACGAAGAACTCAGATAGAAAAAAGAAAACCTAGAATCATGGAGAATTACAATAAACTGCAAGAACTAAACGAGCTCCAGCCAGAAGGCAGGTCTATAAATTTCACGCATCTATAAGCATAAGAGTATATTTTGCGGTGGGGGTGAAATATAAATTAGTGGTTCCAGTTCTATCAATGCATGTCAGGTTTTAGTAAATATGGGTTCTAACTCGGACACCAGGTTTAAATTTGATATGTTGAAAAGCAAACATATCACATGTAAATGCATGTGCAAGATTATAGAGATGAAACACAATTTTTTTACACAGAGAAAGAAAATGATTTTATTTTTTGTAAAGTAAAAACTTACGATTTTCATGGCCATTAGACCCTGATAAGCCATAATCAGCTTCAAGCCTCTTTCGGTGGATCGCAACTTTCCTCTCGATCTCCTCAGTGTTCTTCACTCCCTGTTCCTCAAGAGATTCACGGTACTCTATCAAAGCAACTTCCACACGTCTAAGCTTTTTTCTGCAGTAACAAAGAGGCAGAGTCAGGGAACACAGTGCTACAATCCGTCCGATCACAAACAATAACACTGAAAAAACAATAGGATGAATTCTGATTGGATGTTTCTCATCTTTTCTTTCAAGTCAGACACTAATGTCCTCATAGCAGCAAAGCAACTGCAGCTATTATTTCTAACAATGATATTAAGTTTTTTTTTTCACGATATGATGAGTACAGTACATATGTCTATTTTATGCGTGTATCGCTTGGTTTTATCAAGACTAGTTTAAATTTAATGAAAATGAATGTAGATAATCCTAGTCTATAACATGGATCAAACCTTTGTTCCTCGTCCATTCCATTGTCAGGTTGAGGTTGAATACGAATACTTGCATCAGCCTTGAAATCATCTTCGTCAGCCTTAGAAGGTGCCCTGCCAAGATTATCACTTCCAGAAGAGTAGCTTCTTTTTTGTTCATCTTCAGTTTCATCATCCTCTCTCGCCCATCTGGATGCTGGCAAAACGGGCTCATTTTTCTCTTTTCTCGTGAATGCTTTAAGGTCAGGCTGCGGGATCGGTAGCGTTGTAGCCAGATTCACAGGCTCTCTAGCTTCAATCTCTTCATAACTGTTCCTCATCAGCTCATGATCATGGCTAACTCCTTCCCAAGTTGATTGGCCCTGTGGATGTTTAAGATTTTCATCTACCAGATCATAACCCCTTTGCTTCTCTGCATCTTCAAGGCTTAACAGCCGAGCAACCATCATTTCTCTACCACCTACGAGAGACAGCCCATTGTGTCGGCAGCGTCTTTCAAGCTCAGCAATTGGTAGATTCATCAGTTCTTGCCTTGCAGCTCCTTTGCCCATTGCCAGTGCACCGTCGCCACTGGTCCTACCCACAGTGGCCATATCTTCTGCGTGGCTTTTCTTCTCTATTTCAGGTGCATCACCACAGATAGAATGAAACAGGGTGACACCAGAGTTCCCAGACCGGAGAAACGTGGCTCTTAGTCCATTTATGTATGCATCTGAGAAAAGAAACCAGTCTGACCATACTTGCAGTACTTTGAGAACTCGTTCCTACACAAACACAGATTTAGTTCATGTCAAAGTTTAAGAAAATAAAGAAACACATAGGAAAGGGTTAGTATTTTGAGCATACTTTAAGAGCCTCGGCAGTTATCCTTCCTGTTATACTGCGATATAAATCATTGAAGCTTTCCATTATATCAGGTAGGAGTGCTTCGAATTTGGTTCTGTATGCAGAGGCATTTTTAACAGGCGCGCTACTGTTATGAAGAATGTCGGATACAAGCATGAGCCTTGCAACTTTAGTCGGAATTGGTGTTTCTTTTAGTGTCAAGGACTCTGTCAGGACTTCAACAACCTGTGAAAGGAATAAACCTTTAGAAGGCACTTCATGAATCAGATTGCCAATAAAATGTACTTTGCAATCCTGTCGAACTGAATAATTATATCTAGATGTTCTATGTGGACCATAATCCATAACTTTTTTTTGTTACACCAGGCAAGTAAACTCATCTATGGTTTTTATTTTTTTGAACAAAATAGGACTCAGTTCACTTCATATGTCAAAGGATTTTGGGGGAAAACCTATTAGGGAGATGTGAAACAATAATACCAAGTAAATTTATGTTACTCAAAACAAATATACCTCTCCAGCTGCATCAGCGTTATCCAAAGCGAAACCCATTGCTTCTTTTATCTGTCTCCTCTCTAAAGTTAGACCACGCAACATGTCCTCAAACTCATCCCTTTGAGGATCAGTGAGAGTCCGTTCAGCTTCCACACGCTGTGAATTCATCAGTACTAGATGTATCACTAAAACATGAATACTATAAACAATGTACAGGAAAAAACATAAGAAACTAAAGGAGATTACCCTGCTTCTTCCTGCTGCATATGTGCTTGCAGACTCTTTTTCATGCTCTGGGCTCCTAGCAGCTGGTAATGGTGGTGGTATCCATCTTTATTACAGAAAACAAGCAATGTAAGTACAATGGTCATTCAAAGGTATAGACAACAACGAATGACCTGACACTAGAATCAGTTTCAAGGCTAACCACTTTTGGATTACCTTCCACTTCCAGTAATCATCATAAATGGCTCCATTCTCCACCTTTGAAGGGTGTCACCCTTAATGACAGAGAAAATTTCTCAGCATGTGAAACTGTTAAGCTCCAGCAGATAACATGTTTTCCTACTTATAAAAAATTTAAAAGTGTACCTGAGCGAAGGAATAGAGTCTCCAGACATAGTAAGTATGCTCTTTTGAGCCAAGCTCAAACAAGAAGTTAAAAAGAAGATTCCCACGACCCCTTTCCATGATAGCTTGTTCGAAAGCACATCCCCCATCCAGTACATAGAGAGCCATTGTATCAATTACATGTCTGAGGTGCTCGTTGTCAGGAGGAATAACAGTGATATCCGGAACATTTGGGGTAAGAACCTAGGAATGAAATCGAATATCCAGTGACTCAGGAAAACAACACACACAAAATTTTTTCAAAAGGAACTGAAGTCATACAGAACCCAAGTCTGCATACCAGCTCAGAATTTTGTGCAGGTACCGAAGTTATTGGTGGACCTGATGGGCCAGAATAAATCACCTTGCAGCCCTACCAATTAGAATATATTATACTTAGTGTACAGATAAAGATAACATTTAGTGATCAAATAACAGTCAGTATGGTATCAGTTTGATCCATAGCCAAATGAAATAAAAACGAATCTGAAGAGTAGCATAAGTACTGTTACAGACCTCCTTACTCCGAATAGCCATATGTCCAGGTGGCGGAGCAGGTAAGGCTTGTGATGGTAGAGCAACTGCCTTACCCCATCCAATTTTCAATTCATAGTCATACACAACTACTCCTGTAAAATAATACACGCATTGAAAAAGGTATGTGAATACTAAAACAGAAGCCACAGATTAGTAAAAGTTGCTAGAAGGGCCTGCGGTTTCCCAAATTAACTAACCCATAAGTACTTTTATCAATAAAGAAAGACAACGTGATATTAAGGGAAAACAGCAATATTGACCAAATATGAAAATTTGAACGGTTGGCTAATCTACATTTAATTTAATATTATTCGATCACTTCAATCAAGAGTGAAGCATGCTTTGCACATAACAAATTTCACTAACCTTGCATTTCATCTTTTGCTGCTTGTCCATCAGCTCTATTCATGAAAGAAACAAAACCACAATTTCTTTGCCGCCTTCGCTCCTCTTCTGTCCTTGGCCACATGATTTTGACACTGGCTATAGGCCCAAATCTTCCAAAAGTTCGCAGAAGAAAATTTTCATCAACCTAGTCGAAGACAAAAGACAAGGTCGGAAATCTTAGCCAAAGAAAGTAACACTAGGAACTAAAGCCAAGTGGAAGTGGAAGCAAATGTCGAGAAAACCGCAGAAAAACTCCAGATATAAACCTTAGGTGAAAGATTCCCAACATATAAATTCGTAGTTTGTGGGTCGCCGTCGTCAAACGATCCCGGCCTTCCACTGGGATCAAAATCATCAGGTAGCTCATCAAAGCGGCTAGATGGCTGAAGAAAATACAACTTCAATAAAACATTCGGGACATATATCCAAATATACAACAACGACGATTAGTTGGTACAGAGATAATAATTCAAATAGATTGAGATGAACTTACTGCAGAGCTATCACCATGACGGTCACGGGAGGTCCCCCGTTCCTGGTTTCGCCTCTCTCTCATTTCTTGTTCACGTTTCAGCTCCTCCATGAAATGATCTATATTCCGTGTCTTCCCCTTTTCTCTCTCCTTTGATCTCTCTTCCTCCCTCTAGAAAAAGCAAACAATCAGATCAGAACTAAAATATTATTACAAACCAGCAAACAATACAGGGAGTAAGTTCCAGGGACCACTGACCTTCTTCTCAGGTTCTTTACCCTTAGATGCCATAGGTGGAGGAAGGAAAGAGGGTACATACCTGCAGAGATTACTTGGAAGATAACCTTCTATATAACGAGAAGACATGCTTGGGTTCCGATTTTTCAAGCTATATTTCAGAACACTCTTAAGACCCACAATTAGCATCTCATCTTATACACTTTCCAAAGAAACTCTTTGTTTTCAAGCATCACATACACAGAACAAAATGAATCTTACTCTAGTCTTATAACCAAGTATATCATAATCGTATCGTATTATCATAATCATATTAATGGAACACTTTTTGTTTATGATGCATCCACCAGAAACTATAGGCACCACAAGATTGCTTGATCAAAAGTGATTAATTTACCTACTTCCCTTCTTTGAAACGGAACCCCCATCTTTCGACTTTTCACCTGTCATCCGCGAATGCATAAAAAGGTCCATGCTTTTATTAATGTGTTCCAAATAAAACAGAAACATTATTCTACCAATTCGGACCATCAAACAGAAGAACATAGAACAACTGACACAAAAAGAAGCCCTCGACATTAGCTTTACTCCATCAAATCGTGTGGACTCTGAGACTAACCTTCGGAAGCAGTCTTGGGCTTGTCATTAGGGTTGATAGTTCCACCTCGAACAAAGGTCTTAGCTGTGCTGTCTCCTTGAAACGATTCCAAGAATTCCTGATACAGACGAGCCGTTTCATCTTCAGCTCTCTGCATTGAGAAGAAAAAAGCCCATCATCGTGAAATCACCGCAGAAATCGCTGAACAATCAAACTGAAAACTGTTTCGCGCATCACTGTTGCTAAAACTTTTTGGTTAAAACGATTTGCACGGGTCAGACTATCCACAACAGCTACATCCCAGAAAACTCTAAAAGAATCGAACATAGTTTCAACTCGCTAATTACATGTAACCCAATACCCATCAAGGATCAAGAAATTCCATAGCTAAGGAGGAGAGAAAAACCTTCTTCTTGGCTTCTTCTTCTTCTCTGTGTTTCTGAAATGGCGTCTTCTTTCGGGTGATCGAGAAGGAACTCATCTTTCGGCATACAAACTTCTTACGAATCAAGCCCTTCAGGCAAACTCAGAGCAGCACCTAAACCCTAGCTAATCACACGAATCGACCCTTAACACGACAACAAAAACGAAACTCGCGATAGCTCGGAATCCTCCAATTTCAGGTTGGGGAAAAGACAGACGAGGGTTTCGCCGTAAATTAGGGTTATCAATGATCCGAATCGGGAAGGGGGGACGAGTTCGAAGATAGGGATTGAGAGAAGAAGACAGCCAGAGCGAGGAAAACAGTGGAAGGCTTAGAAGGACCCCAAAAAATATAAATCCCTAAAATTTCCCAGTCCTCACTGAACCTTTCTGGGTGGAGAGAGAGGCGTTGAAGGTCAGACTCTCATTATTTTTTGTCTTTAAAAGCACCTTTTTTTTTATATGTGAAATTAAAATACCTAAAATCGATATAAAACCATTTTTTTTCTCTTGTTGTTTGTAACGATCTTTAATTTTTTATTTGATGTTATAACACCTAAATGCTCAATTCATATTATTATGAAAACGATTTTTTTACTTAATTTATTATAATATTTTGTATTTGATAGATTTTTTTTTTTCAAAACGTCTATAAGGTAAATCCCGATTCTTAACTTATTCTATATTTCTTCTGTATACGTACAGATTTAGAATGTCCAATTTTTTTATAAACAGTAAAGATTTTTTTTTTTACAAAGATCATTCGCAAGGATATCTAAATTTATAATAATTATGTAAAGTATTTTTATAATTAGCAAAAACTAAAAAAAATTTAGTAAATATATAAGATTATTTGATCCTGAGATTTTTTTGTGGTTAAATTGATCCTAAAAATTTGAAATATAAATTCGATTATTTCGGTACAAGAAAATAACATTCTGACTCCACATGGAATAAGTTTCTCAATCGTTAATGGGCCAATTGATGGCCATTAAAGGCCCAAAACAGCTTCTGATTGGGCCCTTCTATGTTAGTCAGAACGTACGTATAAATACTAAGCTCAGCAATCGTCGTAGACGGAACCTAACTGCCACTGTTTTCTCCGTCGTCATCCCCCCAAAGCCCTACACAGAGAGGACGCTCTCTCTCTCTCTCTCTCTCTCTCTCTCTCTCTCTCTCTCTCTCCTTCGTCGATTGGATTCTCAGTTCGTGTTCGCATCCGATTGAAATGGGAGGAAGCGACACCGCAGCTTCCGCTGTGGTTCCGGAATCGGCGACAGAGTCCGTGAACGCAACATTGGCGAGCATGGAGGAGCTGAAGCCACAGATTCTGGAGCTCATGTCTTTGTGCGAACCCGAAGTCCTTTCCCTGCTGCCGCCATTGCAGCGAGCCAAGGCTCTGTTCTTACTCGCGGAAGCCACCACAACTCTTTTCACTCGTATCGCTCTTGATCCCTATCAAATTTTGCTAATTTGGAGGAGTAAGATAATCGGGTTTTGCATTAATTGTGTGTGTGGCTTTGTTTCAGTGAGGTTGAGGTGTACTGGAGTTCATCCCGACGATCATAATGTTAAATCGGAAATTGTATGCTATTTACCTTTAAGTACCTTTTCGGATCGTTTTAATTTACTGAATTGGAATCATTTTTGTATGTTGTCTTTCTTCATCCTCATTAGCTTCGTTATTTTGATTCCTCTACTTTCTATAGGTTTGCGATTGAAACCCATTTCGTCTCTTTTGCTTTTCAAACACTTGATTGTGTACTTATTTGTGATATGAATTTGCAGGAGAGGCTAAGCTTGTACAGAGAGAAGTTGCAGCGGTCTATGGATCGGAGTAAAGGTAAAGGCTCAACCTTTACTGTTCAATGATTCTGTACTCAGGTGGAAACCTGGTTGTTTCACCTTGTTGCAATACCGTCTTGAGATGAGAGGACTAGTATTTCGACTTTGTTTATCAAACTTATGTTACTTCACTAAGAAAACCATTTAAGCAAGCTGAATTGGTTCAAGGCTGAAGGGTGATTGTGATGTCTCATGGACTAAATGATGCATCTAGGTTTTTCTTATCTCGAAGAACCATTGTATCCGTTTAGCCCCTTCAATTGAGGGGACCAGTATTTGAGTTTTGTTTGTCAATTTATGTTTCTCTGTTTAGGAAATCTCTTTCCCAATTTGAATTGGATTAAGAATTAAGACTGTTTGGTGACTGAATTTAAATTGTCCTTGAGCTAAGTGATGTTTTCTGGGTTTTTGCTTTTTGTGTAAAGACTATTGGTTTGTTTTCCATGATGCCATCTTTCACTGAGGGGCCTGTATTTTAATTTTGTTAGTTGGATTTCCATTTTTTTTTTGTAAAACATTTTATTCAATTCAAATTTATTAGAGGCTATCTTCTGACTGATCACTGCATCCTCTGGGTGAAATGATTTGCTTATGAGTTCCTCTTTTAGTTCATGCACCTTTGTGTCCCTTTGTCATCTTGATTCAGGAAGACTAGTTTCCAAATTTGCTTATCGAAGTGACGTTTTCCTGTTTACCAAAAAAGCTTAAGTTTTCCTTCGAAAAAACTTGTCGGTGACAATTAGAAGGTTATTGATGCATCTTATATCTGTCGCGCTAAACAATTTTCCGGGAGTAGAGAGAAACCGATGTGCCCATTTTCCTTCCTAAATTGAAGGGATCATTAATTTAACTTTGTTTATCAAACTTATGTATCTCCATTTTGTATTCTTCTTACTCAATCCTAATGGGTTAGGACCTGATTCATAATCATTGTTTCTTGCGACTTTTTTACAAGTTTTTCTTTTCGTTGCATTTTTGTTCTGTTACGTTGTATTTATGTTGCGTGCCTCCATTTATGAAATGCTACCTTTGTTTTTGAAAATGATGTATCTCCATTTATGAAACTTCTTATTCAGTTTGAATTTCTTATTGGCTTATTTATTGTAATGCCACAATGACAAAACTATTTTTTCTTTGATCCTGTGTTTGCTAAAGAACCATTTGCCATCTACTATCTTAAATCAAGGGGACCAGTATTTACATTTTGTTTGTCGAAATTTCATTTTCTTTCCATCTAGAATACATTTATCAAACGGGTAATGGTCAAGGCTAACGGACGATTGTAACATCTAATGCGCTTATCCACGAGGATCATATCCGTTGTCTACGAGAACTTATTATTCAATCTGAATTCGTTAGAGGTTATTGCTTTCCAATTGTTGTTTCTTGCGTGCTAACTATTTCTTTTTTCTTTTCATTCTTCATTGGATAACCGTTACGTATATCTACCATCGAAAATCGAGGAGACCAATGTTTGAACTCTTATGTTACTCTGCATAGAGAACTTACACAATTTAAATTGGTTAAAGGCGAAGTGCTATCTGTAATTCTCGACGTCTCATGGTCTGAGCGGTCTTTTATCTGTTTCCTTTCTCTTTGAAGAGCCGCTGCGTCCGACAACTGTCATAAATCGCCAGGCCGCAACCCGTTTCATCGAGCACTCTCTTCCTGACCTTACATCAGGTATGTCACTATTACATTCTTTTGTTTCTTTACCATCATCACCTCCCCTTTTTTTTGTTATATCCGTGTTGTAACAGTCATTTCGTATGTCTATAGACCAAAGGCAAAGCATGAGGAATCTTAGTAAAGGAGATAGATCTAAGACCAAGTACTCGGAGGCAAATGCAAAGAGGAGGAAATACCCATCAAATGAAAAGCAGTCTGTCCAGGCCGCTGCAAAGGAGTTCCTTGAAAAGGCTTCTCGTGAGCTTATTGGAAACAATGAGAATGGCGTCAAGGGTCCTTTAATGGCAGTTGCTGATGGTTCAGATGAAGAAATGGCATGAGCTGCATACATAGAACAGGTAATATAGAATTGCTTTGCTGCGTTTGCTGTGATGTGTTTGAAAGGAAATTTCATGGAGTAATCTTTACAGTCCTATGGTATTAAATGTGAGAGATTTGCTGAAGTTTTTTATTTTAGTTAGGAAAAGATGCTGCGAAGATATCTAAACTGGGACAATTTATTAGTTTTGTGTTATCAGCAGAGTAAGATCAAATCAGTATCATCAGATACTAATCTGATTGGGAATCGTATATTCTCTTGTCCGTTTGCCAGTCCCTGGTTTTCTTTGTTTATGCTGTCTGATATAGGTACTTTTTGTGCATTTTCGGCTTCATGGCCGTAATGGGCCAGGGAGTCTAATAGTTTTGTTACTAGCCATGTCTTGGGAACTGATTAAGAGATTACCTGAGTGCTTGCCAAACATATCCACATTCGAAGTCTTCCTATTGTTACAGATTTAGGTCCATTCAAGTGAGTCTCTTATGTTAGTTAGTTATCCATGCGTCTATTCTATCCCAGAAGTTTGTTCAGCATCGTCAGTGGCTATTCAATCTTTTGACCACCTGCTTGTTGCCCAAATGCGTTATTTATCAAGGCAGGACCTGCAAATGGAGCAGGCGAAGACGGGTCATATGTGGTGGTTTGGGGTTCATTTGGTTGCGGAATGTTTCAGAAGCCCGTGGCGGTTTTCTCCTCCAGGTTCTTTTTGTTATGCATTATTTTGAAAATCCTAATTCTTGTTCTCGTTTTTCCATTCTAGCCTCAAATGGAAAAACAAAAACAGAGTTGAGAGATCGGATTGAGACCCAATGTTTTGGTATAATCTCTCTCTCCCTCTCTATGTCAGTAGGAGTAGCCATTCCAGTTTCGGTTTCGTATATTTGAATTCGACTGTATTTCGGTTTGGGTTCAGTTTGGAATCGGATGGTAGTTATGGAAATACTCATTTATCAGTTTTAAAAAAAGTAACCATCTAGTTTTTAAATGGAACCCATTTCGTTATTCTTTGGGTTGGTTTATTATTCCGTTATTAACTAAATTGTCCACCTCTATTTCCATATATAAAAAAAAACCCCAACAAATCCATGAACAACTCAGGTTGTAAAGCAAAAAGATAAAAAAAAAAATCACGATGACAAAGTCCTTAATACAACAGCTACCAACACCGCCGTAAAAGCCCCACCTCGAACCAAGGAAGAAGCTGCATCTCCGGTGGTCGGAGCAACAGCCGGAGCTCTGATCTCAGCCGCTGCCGCCACCGGAGAAGGAGATGGAGCCTCGCTGACAAAAAACCCACGGCTGCTTCTTGGCGACATAACCACAACGAAGAGTTTCTCACCTTGTTCGCAGTTAGTCTTCGAGCCGCTGATGAAGAAGAAAGCTCCATGCCTCTCCAGCTTCACCTTCGTCTCGCCACCGCTGAACTTAGCGACTGGTTCTGTCGTGTTGCAGGTGACGTAGGCTTCTTTCGTCACCCGAAGAACCGAGTCCTTTTCTCCGTCGTACTTCCAGAGCAGAGTATCTCCGACGTGAAATCGTGCCTTTTCGGCCCATCGGTTGAGAGAATCTGCAGGGGAAGAAGGGACTTTCCATGCGTTGGATTTGCCTCCCACCAGAATCTCTCTACAGTTTGTGAGATCGGTTAACAAGAGCAACAAGGAGATGAACAATAATACTGAGGAAGCTTCTGGAGATTTTCCAGCCATGATAGAGAGAGAGAGAGAGAGAGAGAGAGTTCTGCGAGGGTTGTAATGGGGAGTCTCTGTGGCGGGCTGTAGGTATTTATAGTGGGGGGAGAGAGACGAGAACAAAAAGAAGACGACAGTGGAAAAAGAAACTAGCCGTTAAGGTCTGTCTGAAACCGAGTCCTTAACGGTCGTTTCGCATTTTTGTATTTTGATTCTCCCATTCCCCTCCCTCAAAAAACCTTTGAACCATGATTCATACATACATATATGTATATACACACATATATATTATAGGTTTTATTGATTTTGTCATGTACGTGCACATTTTTATTTGTTTTTCTTTATTCGATCATCATCTTTTACTTCAAATCTTGTGGCGATTCGGTAATTCCACGAACGTTGTCTATATCCAATTTGATATATACACCGTACGGCAATTCCACGAACGACGGTATAATTCGGTAATCAAAACTTATATATCAAATTTGATTATAATCATTGGAACTAAATAAAAATAAAAATAACGACGAGTAGAAGTGGCAAATAAATGAATCACATTCTCACTAAGTCATCAAAACTTAAAAATCCTCAAAAAAAAAAAAAAAAAAAAAAACACGTCTTAGAACAAAAAAAACGAAATAACAAACAAAACACTATAATATATATAGAGAGAGAGGAACCCAAAAAAAAAAAAAAAAAAAAAAAACACGTCTTAGAACAAAAAAAACGAAATAACAAACAAAACACTATAATATATATAGAGAGAGAGGACTGATTCAGCCCCCACTGATCTGAAGTTCCGAGACCAACTGTTTCTGAAACATCCATCTTTCTCGCTCCGGAGAAAAAAAAAATCAATCGATCTTGACCGAAGAATAGATGAGCCTCGTGAACCAGAGACAAGCGTAGAACCCGATGGATCCCGTCAGCACGAAGAACGCGTACGAGGCGATGAGCATATACCCGAAGTAGAGCATTGCCGACACGAGTTTCGTGATCTGAAGCTTCGTGAAGAAGTAGAACATTGCGTACACGAAGAGGTATATGGCCGAGGAACCTGAAGTGAGATAAGACCTCCACCACCAGAGGTAATCCTCACTGCAGAGCTGGAAATAGCAGAGGACAATGGTTATCTCTGCGCAAGTCACGATGAGGATCACAAACACGAGGAATAGGAATCCGAAGATGTAGTAGAACTGGTTCAGCCATATGGACGTGAGGATGAAGAAGAGCTCGATGAATACTGCCCCAAACGGGAGGATCCCTCCGATCAGTATCGAGAATATCGGGTTCATGTACCAAGCCTGCTCCGGGATTTGCCTCGGGATTTTGTTGGTTTTCACTGGGTCCTCCATCGCTGGTTTCTTGAACCCGATGTAACTCCCGACAAAGACGAGAGGGACAGAGATCCCGAACCAGAGGAAAATCAGAGCGAACATTGTCCCGAAGGGTACAGCCCCTGATGATTTCTGTCCCCATACGAGGGTGTTTAGGACGAAGAAGATGGATGAGACGACTGCCGGGAACATGAATGCTGTCCTGAAGGCGATTTTCTTCCACTCGGTCCCTTTGAACATTTTGTAGAGACGGGAGGAGGCGTAGCCGGCAGAGAGACCCATGAAGACCCAGAGGAGGAGCATGGCTGTCATGAGACCGCCTCTGTTGGAAGGCGAGAGAAACCCGAGCATGGCAAAGATCATGGTGACAAGAACCATGCCAAAACATTGGACACCTGTCCCGACATAGACACAGAGCAGATCTGAGTTGGTTGGAGGCCGGAAGACGTCGCCATGGACAAGTTTCCATCCCGTCTCTTCTTGAGCTTCCTCTTGAGTCTCGAGCTCGTTGTACCTCGAAATATCTCGGTAAAGGGTCCTCAGCATTATCATCGCCACCATACCCGAGAGGAACAGGACGATCATCAGAGAGTTGACGATAGAGAACCAGTGAATTTGGTTATCGCTCATCAGAAGATACGCATCCCATCTGGATGCCCACTTCACTTCGCTTTCCTGCAGATAAAGCAGCCAGAAGTTCAATAAAACAACGAGAACGGGAATGAAAACCCATCCGACGTGAGTAGAAGAGGGTCCATCGGGAAGTTGAACAAATAACTTGCCTGGAAATCTACGTCATACGTGAAGATAATCTCCTTCTTTTCTTCAACTTCTTGAGGGGTAGCCGAGCTAACAACCAAGCGTTTCGTGTGTGGATCACAAGTAGTCAGACGGGCCTTCACGTTCCATTTACCTTCATATTCATGCTTGACACTGCATAACAAGTAAAGGGGTATCGGTACTGAAAGAAGGAAGAAGAAATGTGAAGAGCATATCAAGTAAGGTCTAGAAAAGTTTCACCTGAATGGTTTGACCTCAAACCCAACAATTCTCGCAGCATCAGTTTGCATATCTCTGTGATAGCGGACTGTAAATGACAGGTGGTTGTGGATAAAGTACTTTTGTTCTTTACTCTGTTCATTAAAAAAGGACAGCTTAGAACATCAAGCTTATTATGTATGCATCCCAAATACAGTCAACAGCAAAAACCTGCTTACCCCCTCGTACTGGCCTTTAAGCCCGATGTGATAGCCGAGCTGATAAACAACGGACGGAGAACCCTGGTCTACTCTCTCGATCGGAACTACCAGAGGAAGGTTATCAAGGATCCTAACACGTACGAGCAGGACTAATCAGAAAATGTATGTGAGAAAGATAATACTTGAAAAAGAGAAGTTTATATTCTTGAACCTACATGTTGATCCGATACTCATCATCGATTTTCTCTTTGAACTCTTTGGCAATTTTTCCATCAAGAGTGATCCGGCAGAGGATATTGCACATTTGTGGCTCCCGCATTTTAAACTGGCAATTTTTCAACTCGGTGATAATCACATATAGAAGAATAGACAAGGACATCGTGATCAAAACAAGGATGAGCAAACTGATAATCGACGGAGGTCATCGATAGGAAGAATAGAGACAAACCACATATGCAGAATTCTCTATACGATCACCACGGAGGACTTCTCCGAGATTCTCAGCGCTGTCCACAATCTTTGCCGGTTGACAGAATGGGAGAGAGTAGTAGGAGTAAGGGAGCTGTGTCTTTATGGAAGTTAACTTATTCACTTTCACTTTCAGCTCATCGCCCTGCACACGACAATATCGAAAGAGAATTAGGACACGGCATGATCTTAAAGTCTCTGTACAGATTAGGTACAAACAACACTACGAAACCAAAGGGGATTCTCATAAAACCAGACAAGCGAATCTTTCACCAAGATTCATAAAATAGCTTGCGCCCATTAACATATAAGCAACACCCATAACTATGATTCTTTTGGAAGGAGAAGAAGATAGAGAATCTAGTCCGAAAGCCATCTAAATTGAAACGATTATGGTCATTCCTGCAAGAGATCAAGTGTCGGTGCAAATCTCCGCAAACGCTACATTGTTCCGACCAAGAGATCCAGCCTCAAATTAAAACATAAAGCAAATCCGAATCCATCGAGACGCACTTAATGTAATCCCGGCCCATCAGCACTACGACTATCATTTTCCCCTCGTTTTCTCGCCAACAAAACACGAATCATTTCCAAATCGGATTCGAAACCAAATCCATCAACCGAAATCAGATCCAATAGATCCAAATCAAAATCGAAAAGCACACGAACACAAAATGCACAAATCACCTTTTCGAAATCCTGAGGAGCGACACCAGGGAGGTAGAAGGAGTGAGCTCCATGGATGAGGAGCAGAAGAATCAACGCAATCGAGGATCCAGAGGCTCCTCTCCGTATGCTACTGCAGCGAAGCTCCATGGCCATGGCGGTTTCACACGGGGAGAGGAAGGAAAGAGACAAGATCTGAAGGTGCCCGAACTACGGTGGTCTTATACGCTGTGGAGAAGAACAGTGTAATAGATCCTGGTTTCTCTCTCCGGTACGGCTTTATACTGTGGATGTTCCTCCAATGATATAATGCCACGTGGATGAAACCAAAATCCATATTAATGGGCCTCACCGTCAAAGCCCAAACCCAAAAACAAATGTCCAACAGGAGGCGGCTCTAGACCATATCAATTGATTTTTAGGTAAAATTCAAATTTAGATGTTTTGGGTTATATGTTTTGTTATCCAACAATCTAGTGTCCGCAGATTTTTTTATTTTTTTTTATTTTTATAATAGTTGGCCAAAATGGGATTTAAACTTTGATTGTATTGTGTGTCATCTTTACCATTAGATCATCCACGTTGGATCCATAGATTTGAATATATGAATTCATATAGCAATATAATTTCAAATACACGTGGATATTCGAACCCGAATATTTTCAACTATTATCATATTTTTGTAATCAAATTTTTTACAACGCATCCAGATCAATTTATACAACGGTGAGAGATAAAATGAACGGTTGAGATAAGAAAAAAAAAAGAGTGTAATAAATAAGAGTTAAAAAAAATGGTAAGTTAAAAATACTATATACATCTAAATTTTAAAGGTAAAAAAATAATTTTGTATTATTGAATATCCATAAACTCGTATTCAAACCCAAAATTTGAATTATCTCATCTCTCCAAATATCTAAAATTTCGATATTGTTTTTCATCAATCTATTACAAAGTATAGACATAACCAACACTTTAATGTTTTCTTGTCAATTTATTACCTAACCATGGATCAGTTACGAGCTTTCGGACCGAACTCAAATCGGATTTCAGATTTGGTCTATTAAATCTGACGGAATTCGGATCGACCCAATAATCGGATTTAGATACATGTGAAAAAAAAAATAATCCAAGTAAACAAATAGAAAAATCATAATCCAACGGGTATATCCGACCTGACCCGAGCCCGAGTCTAATAGACCGGGCTTCATGCTCGGTTTTGTAGGCCTAAAAAAATTGGATCAAACCCGAATCTGAAAATCATCGAACTGAATGCGACCTCGGGTCAGGTTAAGTGCGGGCTCGGACCAGACTGAGTGCGAGTTCGGACCAAGCTGGCCCACCCAACCACTTCTCTTCGACCTGTCCACTTCAGCTTTCGTCACACAACATAAAGAGTTCATTCATAGAGATAAGAAAGAAACAAGCATTAATTTAGAAGAGATGGAAACCGAAAGGAACAAACTTTAGACTTCTGACATACAAAAACCACACAAGGAGAAAAGGAAATCAAGTGTTATTGTCTTTGACATTTGCCCCCCCACATGCCAATTCATTATTCTTCAAACCCACATCACAAAAGCTGGTCCTTGCCTCACAAGTAAACCTAGGAAATGGCTCACACCCCCAAACAAAGAAGCACTGCAATATTTACACTGATCTAAGGCTTTAGCTTCAGTAAAGTTCTCGGCCCGCCTCGGAAATATTCGATCTTTTTAGTACCCTCCTTGTATGTAAGCATTTAGACGGTCCAGCTCCTCCCTGTGCTCAGTCACCACTGCACGAACCACGTCTCCAATGGACACCATCCCCACCATTTCCTTGTCGTCGATTACAGGGATGTGTCTGATTCGGTTATCTGCCAATTCACAAAGCCATTTCCTTTCTCATTCAACCGAAACTCGATATTGACAAGCCGAGAAAGAAAAAAAAGAAGTCTTTACTAATGTCACCTGTCATGAGTTGCATTGCCCACAAAACCTTGGTGTCGGGTGTTACAGTGATGAGCTTATTCTACAATAGCCCACATACTCAGTTCAGCATTGCTACAGAGTTAACCCGGAAAAGGCGAGGAAATTACAAAAGGAGATATGATACATGAAGTTTCCTCAATAGATTATACCTCATCGGTCATAATGTCCCCGACTTTGGTTGATTTGGATGATCTCCCCTGCACTATAATCTTCCGTAGATAATCTGAAATTTCATTGGTCAAAAAACGGAAGAAACACCATCAATACCGAAATACTATGAAATCTGAAATTCAAGCAAAGACAACTGTATGAAGGAAGAAGGAAAGAATCACCTCTCTCAGTGATTATTCCAGCAATGGATTGTTGCTCCCCAGGCTTCACAACCACCAAAGCTCCTACATTGTGTTGAGTCATCTACCAAAGAAATACATTGATCACGCCTCCGAAATCACAGAAGATTCAAACACAGAGCAGAAAAAAGGGAGATTTGGGAATCATATATACCCAAGTACAACGAAGAAACCACACCAACGACCAGCCAAACAGGAAATTCTCATATAGAAACTCTCCATAATACCCAATTAAGAGAGAGAGAAAGAGAGACGTACGGACTGAACAGCATCGTAGACAGAGTCATCAGTTGTACACCAAAGCCAGGAACCATCAGCACTTTTGCCTTTGGCTTTCAAAATGTCTGAGATCGTGGTGCTTTCGAACCCGTGTTCCTCAATTCCAGTAGACTGAGTTGACTCGGACCGGGAGAACACAGCTGGTTGGATCGCCGGATTGATCACACGGAAGTGACGCAACACAGCGGATTTGGCAACATTTCCACCAGATACAAATGCCCTAATCGCAGCTTGCATCTTTACCTGTCGCAAGAGATTCGGGTCACGGATCAAGACAGGAACTGTATGAGCAATATCAGAATACCAAACACGAACCACATCATGAAGCTTTTAAACAGTTACTATTACACGAAACATGTAAGCAAAAGTAGAAAGGGAGACAAATAGCTAAAGGAGATCTACACTCTCTGCACTAAGCTAATCCATCCATGTCGGATAACCTAAAAGTTCGTCGAAAATAAGATAGAAAAACCCATAAACGATTCAACAATCAACAACACCAAAAACCCACAAGCCAAAAAGGCAAAAAACTATGATTTCTGAAAGAAAAAAAAAAGTCCAGTTCTTATTCTTTTTCTATCTCCCAGTAAAGATCTCACTATGAAATAGACACACAATACGGAAGCTTCAAAGTCGGATATTTTTACAGGCCTGAAGGGTTGGATCGGAGTTGGAGAAGAGAGTGAAGAACCCTAGAGCAGAACCAAGAGACAGATGTGTGCGAGTGAGTGAGTGAGAGATTTTCCAGGAAATGGATAGAGATAATCCACTTTTGGTACTGAAACCGCGGCGACTTTTTCTGGTTTTTCTGTAATAAAATAATGATTGCATACGTACGTTTTATCCTGACAAATTTAATGGGCCCCACTCTGTCTTCGTTATCAGGCCCAGCACAAGGCCCATCAAGTTCACACGATGTAACGATTTTCTCCCATTTTCTGTCAGTTTCCCGAGAAAATCTGCTTTGTTTTTCTGGTAAATCGATCTTTGTTGGCTAAAAGGGTATCTCTATCGATATTAACTTACACAAATCGAATCCAGGTAATTCAACCGGTGAAACAGAGACGCAAAACGTCTGTCCCGCTCCGAATTCGAACTTCAAATTGGGGAGAGAAACGGCCGGCTCTCGCTCCCAAGATTAGTCTGGTTTCGGTTCAGGATGTTCGGTTATAAAAAAAACTTACACAAATCTAGGAGCAAAAAAAATTTAAAGTTAGTCTGTTTGTGGGATATAATCGATTTGAGTATTAGATTTTAAATAGAAATATTAATATTCACATCATTATTCAACTCTCCTCAAAAAATCTAGTGATTTAAAAACTGCTGCGTTTTTTGCAAAATGCGTTTCAATGCAACAAATTGTGATTTTCCCTGCCAAAATAGTTACGTACGATGGTTGAATTTACATGACATGACATGCATGATGCATGCTCGCCCGAATTTGCGGAACGTATGTATGGTACCTGTTTGAATTCGGAGCGGAGAGAGACGATTTATACCTTACTTCACCGGTTGAACTATCTAGAGAGGTAACGTAATGGTCACTAACGTACCAACGTGCATGCATGCATGGCACGGTTGCCCGAATTTTAAGGAATACATGTAATAGTTTCTAACAAAAATCCGTTGCTTCTCGTACTCTCCTCGTCTGCCGGCTTCTCTTATGCTTTGACTCTGTCTGTCAGGACAGAACAGAACAACGTACCATAATAAATTGGTAAGCGAGTAACAAAAAATTAATGAATAGTTTATACATTTAGCAGAAATTCATAGTGAACAAGACCATATTAAATTAAATAATATAAAATAAAATAAAAAAAGCAAAACTGTATGAAGCTTGAGCATATGAAGCAACAATGTCTTCATAAAGTGTTTTCTTGAACTTTCTCACAAAGCAGATGACATCTTGCTTATAACCTCCAAAGTGGCTTTCGTCTTCTTCAATTGATCCACCTACGTTCCCAAGTTTTTTTACAAAAAAAATAATTATATATATCATTTTTCACAAATAAAAAACAAAGGGCAAGTTCTAGGTTTCATCACTTACCAGATCTCTCTCCCGATCATCCTGCGTATTCAGAGCACAGGGGAAAAAAAATCAAAAGGAGGCATTGTTATAGATTGCGTGCTTGTCAAGAAACCCAGAAGAAAAGCTTACCCTAGTTTGAACCTCGTGTTTCAATGCATTGACAAGTCTGAACAAGTACTCGTAATTCGACCTGTGAGGCTCCTGCATTACCAGAAGAAACACACATCTCATGTTTCAGACTACTTGCAACATCTGCTGTTCCTGTTTCTTTTGTTGGAAAGACCGAAATCCAAACACAAACTCGACCCGAGAAAACAGGTAACGGTCTTTATTACCTCTATGCCGTCTGGAAGAGGGAACCCTTCGAAAACATGAGGCGGCTCTCGTAGTTGAAGGATCTGATTCGGGTCACTTGGCAAAGGGACAGCCCAAGAAGGCGGGTTAGATATCCCTATCGCTGCAAAACCGTCCCCCGTGCTCGTTTTCCACATCGGCTGTTGTTGTAGCGAAGAACCATCCGTTGTCATCTGCTCTTGTAACTGTCCAAACCCGTAACATACATTGACAATTTGGTAGTTAGGATGTGAACAAAAAAAGCGACATTTCTGATGAATGGTGGTTTCATAAACAAGTAACTGTATCTCAATATAACTGCGTATCTCTGAACCAAAACAAGAAACTGTATACCCTCGGGACGTTTTCCACAGTGTAAGAAACAAATCTGGGCTCTGTGAAATCTGGAGGCTCAAGAACAACATATGCCCCCTCATTGTCGTAGTTTCTTGAACCCTGAAAAGGACAAAACCGGTTTCCGTTAAGACAGAATCAGAACTTCTTCCAATGTTGTTAAGGTTGTTACTGTGCAAACCTGCGAGAACATTGAAGCACTGAAAACGGTGCACAGCTTTCCAGATTCTACTTCATGATCTATGGAGTACCCACTTAACATGTTTCCCATGTCTTCGCGATCTGATCTTGCATCCGGACCTTCGTGTGATCTTATAATAACCTGATAAGTAATGAACAGATGAAGTTTTCCGCTAGCATCGGTATGAGCCTCTTATCCGTATCCCAAAACATTTTAAAACTTCACAAGCAAACATTATAAACACATCGAAAATCAAATCAAGTAAGACCCTCATATATGATTTTGCATTCAATTGCTACTTTGCTTACCAGTGACTACTACTTGTCCTCACCATCAGATTAAATGCAACCATTATAAATCATTGCACGATCATGCCCGTAATTGTGATCGAAGTTCACGACTTACCTTTAAGTTTGCCTGCTTTAGAAAAGTCTCGGTGCAGTCAGGTCCCCAAAGAAGGCCCTTGTAGTTACTTTCACTGAGGCCATCAGCCATCCATGGACATGACCATAAAACATGGTCGATAACCGAATTCTCTTCATCACTCTCACCAGCATGTCTCCTCTCGACCTGATTCAATTCCTCCAAAGAGCCCAGCAACAAAGACGGGTTCTCGCTATCTTGTACGACCTGAGAACTGCGAAAGAGTCCTCCATGTGTTATGTACACACTGTCTGATATCACTGAGGCCAAGGGCAACGTTTTGAAGCAATCTATGCATCTCGAGTACAGAACTGAACCGTTCTCAGCAAATCTATCACATGTTTCTTTCAAGAAATCGAGCTCTTCTGCAGATACTCTTGTTTCGGAGCTTCCACGAAGGAGAATCACTCTCTCAGGCATCAGAATCTGTATTTAGAAACCCGACAATAAGAAGCATTGATCAGATGAGAAAAATATTCTATGGGTTTAGACGTGAGGCAGGCCGAATGAAAGGAAATGAAACTGAAGCATGTGCGCTAATATTTTCAAGTTAAGGAAATCATAGCAGAGGTTGTGCTTCAGCGTCTGCTTTGCCATACTAGCGTTTAGACATGGTAAGATAATTTCTCTAAGTCATTAAACACAGAATAGCAAATGATCAATTCTTCCCAACTTAAAGAAAATAAAGCAAAGTCCTTAGCGTTAGTCTTTCAGCCCGACAAAGCATTGGCGATACCGTTGATGTTTCAGCGAGATAGCATAGCCATTAGTGTCAACATGTCACCATGATCAGTTTCTTTACAATTTAGAGATAAAAAACATTGCAGAAGCCTTCCAGCATGATTAGTTTGATTCGAAAAGGATACAGTACCTTCCAGGCCAAGAGAACCAAGAACACTTCTAGGCTCCAAGAACCTCTACCGATGTAGTTACCACTGAACACGAACCAATGGTTTTCTGAAGGCCTTCCTGATTGATCAAAGATTTTGAGGAGATCATGTAAATGACCAGAGAGATCACCGACCACGACAACTCTAGAATTTTCATGGCAGCAGTTGATTTTGACACAGTTGGGTTCTTTGTCTAAAATTTGCGAAGCACAGTCCACCAGAGCAAGAGCCACAGAATGGGGCAGGATCAAGGGGAACTCAGAAACCGAGTTCTTCCACGTAAAGTGGTTCAATGAACCCATCAAAGTTTCAACCCATTCCGGAGTTATTTGTGACTCTATAGGCCATGAGATCGGCTCTAAGGCAATGTCACCGAATTCCCCACCGACAGAATCCTCTCCATTTCCCAAATAAATCTCCATCTCTATAGGATCAGTCATGTCATCGAGACGATCAATGGTTTCCGGTTCATATTTCCTGCTAGCCATGCCCCGCATGCCAGTTATCATCCTTGTAACCTGCTGTCTCTCTTCATAATCCAAGTTGTCATAGTGAAACCCATGAAGAGACTTAAGAGAACGGTCGCAGTTACTGACCTGCACAGATCACTAATCAGTAACATAGATTACTTCACTTTTGCTTGAATTCACTCGCTGCAAATGCCAAAACTTCAAACTTATCTGCCATTAAACCCAAGGTCGTTCTTTAAGGACATAGAGATATGGATATGAACTCACCACTTGTTTCAGAACCGAGCACAGAATTCGGGTTACACTGTTCTCTGGATCCTGTAGAAGTTATATCATTTGTGTCTAAGTCACACAAAATTACACAGCCAATAAGCTGAAAACTGAATAGTTCAGTATTACCTTCAAAAAGTCACGATCAGCCCCACGACGACATATCTCCTTCATCAAAAGCAGAGTACGCAACTGCTTATAGCTCTTCATTCTCGTAGTTTTAACCGCACTTAGCTTCGAAAACGCGAATTTGCAAGCTTCAAGCTTCGCGTCGAGAACCCTTTTCGAGATTTCTACACAGAATCATCAGACATTAAATTTCTGGTTCAATGGATAGTAAAAACAGAGAATTTCTCGTCTCACGGAGAAAAAAATGGAAGAACCCAGTTTCCTTTACCTGGAGGCGGCATGTTTGAAGCTAACACGGCGAAGAAAGATGGAAATTTGTCAAATTATCCGGCGAGATTGACCCTGAGAGAAACCCTAATGAGATGCTCCGACGAGAAATACAACCGGTGTTACGATTTCGCCGGTAATCTGAAACCCAAACTTTAGTCGGAATGAAGAAGAGTCAAGCAAGAGAACAGGTAAGTTCCATATATTCTCATGCCTTTGTGCCTGAAACTTATAATATTTGATCTCTTTTACCTAAAACAATAACGCAGTGTTTAAACCTCGAACGTAAGAGAATAGACATGGGTCCTGTGTATTTTGTCCTAGAATCAATGGCCTTAGGTATATTTTGATCTGTGTCGGCTATATGCAATCATGTTTGGAACGCCCGAAACTCTGAATAAGATGCTTAAGCCCTCATAGTTTCCCACATGATTAGCGTCGGGTCATTTCAATTGCACGTAAACAACCCATAATGCTTGAGCACACCTGTAAATGTTGGCCAAAACCCTAGGCTCTGAACTGCTACTCGTAAATTTGTAATATGCGGAAGAAGTAACCATTGCACACACTACACCAGGTGTGTTTTCATTGGTGGAAGTCATGTCTTGTTGTGTTATGGTTTATCTTATTACCAAAAATCCAAACCCAACACACCACTCTTTCGATTCGTGGCTGCAACTCGCCGCCGAGAGCCGTCGTCTCAGGGAAATCTAACTTCCTGCCGGTTCTAGGGCAACGAAACCACGCGCATTTCGCATCTCGGAACGCGAAAAGGAAGTTATTTTTTTGCCTGAACGGCTATGATGTATGGGCCAGAAATCTAGCCCATTTGTCTTAGAATGTTATTGAGCTTGAGGCTCAAATAAGAATAATGGTTAGGGCACAGAGCCACAGATCAAACTTAGGAGGGAAAATTCAATACACTATTAGAGATTGTTCTTCAGGCCTTGTAGCTCCTGAAAATCCCCAACAATGGCGAAATTGGTGTGAGAAACATAAATGATGGGAGCTATACAGCTGTTTCCGTGTTCATCGATTCTCGTCAATTGTGTTTCGTCCTCATCGTAATGTGAATGTGATTGTCGGAGATATCAATTCGAGCGGGAGTTCGAAAGAGAAGACGAAGACAACGACGACGACGAAGAAGAAGGAGGAGCTTGAGATTAGAAGAGCGGAAGCGGAAACGGTGGTGAAGAAGGAGAAGGGAAGGACACGTCGAGCAGAGTGTACGGCGCTGGCTGGCAATGGCGAATCTCTGTCTTCGCACGTGCCGATAATGCCCGGCGAAATTGTCAACGTTTTCTCTTCGATTCTCTTGCGTGGTTTCGTTACTCTTCCGCTGTGAGTGTTTCGAACTTCGGAGCCGCTGTAGTTTGAAGCTTGCTGAATGTTGGGTTCTGTGGGATTTAGGTTAGAAAATTTGCTGAATTCGTCTTGTTATTGGCACCGGTTCGAATGTGTCCCTTGCGGTGGAAGCAATGACTGGGTTTTTTTACTTCCTAGTTGTCCATCATTAAGCTAAGGGAAGGGATTATTAATAGGGTATGGCTTAACTAGATGAATATGCTAAACTGCATAGATTCATTGGTGGATGAAATGCAACTGTCTTTACTTCTTCTTGTTACTTGTTTTTAGTTAAGTTAATCTGACAATAGTCTTACTAAGCTGAGAGTGATTCAGAAGGTATGATTACCGGTGAAATTTAGTTTGATTAATTCCATCAAGCATTCGGGTTTTTAGAAAGACGGGATCCGATCAATTGTATAAGCTACAGATTAATTATAGAAATATGCTAACATAAGATGATGTTAAACCAACACAACTGACTAAAGGTTCATGTATCAATATGACATTGCATCTCGTTACCTTATTGTTATCACCATTGGAGACCGAATGCAGTGCATCACAAATACTCTTTTTACCGCTCATTCATCGCCTCTATGAAAAAACAGGTGGGCTTCGATTGCAAAGGATATTTGTCACTGTAACGTTCAGGTGAGTTGGTGCCCTGACGGAAGAGATCTAGACATCGTGCCATCAAGCTCTAGGGATAACACTATTCTGGGTGGGTCATGGACAAGGCTTGATTGGTGGCAATTCCCAGATCAATGCATGAGGCATTTTTGGGATGTGCCAATTTGCCCCCGGAGAAGTTACTCATAGGAGGAATGAGTAAACAAGCCATCGCAAAGACTTAGTAGAAGGCGTAAACACGCCATGAAGAATGGCTGAGACGAGGGGATGATAACATTGTGGAGAATCTGGGAGGCGATGCTGATGAAAATGAATATTATGCAGTGGTTCTCTGCCATCACTGCCCCAAAGCTTCATAGAGATACAACTATTCTTGAGGCTGAGGTTATGAATGTGGTAAGGCTGGATCATTTCTGGTTCTATCTACTTGATCAAATTCAAAGTCTGGCTCTTGTGATTTCATATGAAAATGGGTTTTCTTTGTTTCAACTTACCATGCTGTTCTTATGTAGCAAGTCGCTGTACCCCAATTTTGGCGAGGTTGCCTCTGCACTGTCACTGAATAATCTTACATCCAGAAGACAGAAAGCTAATTGAAGCTGCAGTGATATCTATATGTTAAGAGTAGGAGATCAATATGAGGCATTTATTGGTAACAATTCTGTGAAAAGCAAGAAGAGGGATGAACGAATGCCTCCGAGAGAAGAGGCAGAGTGGATTGAATGAGTGACAATCCTTCTTACCACGGTTTTAGATTTGCTCGGAGAGTCACTCAAGCAAGAGAACAGGTAAGTTCCATATATTCTCATGCCTTTGTGCCTGAAACTTATAATATTTGATCTCTTTTACCTAAAACAATAACGCAGTGTTTAAACCTCGAACGTAAGAGAATAGACATGGGTCCTGTGTATTTTGTCCTAGAATCAATGGCCTTAGGTATATTTTGATCTGTGTCGGCTATATGCAATCATGTTTGGAACGCCCGAAACTCTGAATAAGATGCTTAAGCCCTCATAGTTTCCCACATGATTAGCGTCGGGTCATTTCAATTGCACGTAAACAACCCATAATGCTTGAGCACACCTGTAAATGTTGGCCAAAACCCTAGGCTCTGAACTGCTACTCGTAAATTTGTAATATGCGGAAGAAGTAACCATTGCACACACTACACCAGGTGTGTTTTCATTGGTGGAAGTCATGTCTTGTTGTGTTATGGTTTATCTTATTACCAAAAATCCAAACCCAACACACCACTCTTTCGATTCGTCATCCAAGAAACATGGCTTCTCGATTAGTGTAGTTATCCATCAGTTTTATGTCTTCTGTCCAATTCTTATTGCTTGTTTTTTTTTTGTCTTTATATTTGGGATGTGTTCAAAACAGAAAACAGATAGATTGTAGAAGTGGTTTAACTAGTAAACCTTATCCCCTTTGCCTTTGGTCTTTGTCTCTATCATTCATAGTCAATAGTCATGGTTATTTTGGCTTTATATAGCCTTTAAAATAAACTTGATACGGCAAATCTTCTTATTGGACATGCGTTGTAACAAACTGTTTGATAATTAATTTCATTTTGTATATTTCAAAATCCATTAACCGTTTGCATGCATATCATGAAACATTTCAAGTAATCCGCACTCTTTTTTTAATAACAAATTATGGTTACTTTCGTGATAATTTTTTAGAATGATAATTGCTTTGTAGTTTGTACTAGGGTTACATTTGGATTTCTGATTATATTTAGGTTTGGTTATTTGTATATTGTCTTTAAAAAATAAAATTTGTTTTGTCTATTATTCTGCTTTAAATTTAATTTAATATAAAAAAAATATTAATTTTTATTTTTAAAATTATTATTATTTTGTATTTTGTTTATTTGTATTTAATTAATTTAATTTTACAATAGTTATATCGATTAAATTATATATTATTTTATTTCTTTCGCTTCATTCCTACGTAAACGAATTGAATTGTGAAGTTCTAATTCGGTCTGCTTTCGTGAACTGTTAAATAGGTAACTTCTTTCTGACGTTGTTCTATTTTTTTATTTTTATTTTTTTCTTAGAACGTAAAAACGTAATAGGGAATTATTAATTAAATGGGTTAAGCAACCTACCAAATACATTCCTTCATATATGCGTTAATTTGGATCCACTGCTTACAGACATTTAATTAGAAATCACAACAAAATTTATTTAATAAAAAATATTATTCGAACGTTAAATAAATTGACAGATGGAAAAATCATTATAGTATCTTTCTTTCTATTTTTGTGTTTTTGATTTGACATCGCTACATAAATATCTTCAAAACATAATATGCCCTTTAGGTGGAATCAACTTAATAAATCATATCAAAATAGAAACTTAATAAATCATATCACGACCGATTGTTCAAAACACATACATATATATATATATACACACAGATACGTGTGTGTGTGTATGATGGCATGTCCATGGAATTTACCTCTTTAGATATCGACTCTGTAGATCCCTTCTGACACGTGTCACGCTTACAAAATTACAAAATCTCAATCCAAATTCGTCTGATTCTATTTCCACATCACCCAGCCTAGCATCCAACAAACGCTCACCCTTGACTCCAAACAATAAAAACACAACAAAATTTGGTTTTTGTCTTTACATGTTGTAACTTATAATTTAGAGTTTATTCGAATTTCTCACAATTTTTTTTTCCGAAATCTCGTAATTTTTATGATTTAGCTTATGTTTCTTTTGTATGATAATTATATATCTATTCCATTCGAATTTACATCGGTATTTGTATTCAATTTAGTTTACATGTTTTTTTAAGACAAACTAGTTTAGTATCCGCGCGATGCGCGGGTTATTCCTTTTTTAATTATAAAATTAATTAAAATTAATATTAAAAATAATGTAGATTATTTATTTGATATAAAAATATATTTAAAATTTAAGTATTGTAATTTTATATAATGAATCTAAAGAAGTTTAACTGTAAAAAAAATATTAGTATCGTTTTCTAGATGTATAGGTTTGATATTAGTAATTTGTTATGGACGCCCTCAACTCGATCTTTCTTTTATTTGATCTCAAAAAATATTTAGTTAAAAAATAATAAAAAATGATATTGTTAAATATTATAGATATGATTTGTTTTGAGAGTAGTTAAATATTATAAATTTATTATAGCTCGACTATACTTTTGTTCTTCCATTTATCTTTGCTGTTGTATCAATAACGTTGTCTTGACACGATTTAAAAATTTGAAATGTGTTAAAAAGTACATTAGTTTTAATTGTTTCGGAAACACATACCATAAACACTTTAATAATTTTTCTACAGAAAACGGTGAATAACTAAAATAACATTTTTAACATCGTCAACGATTAACTCAACTCGAAACCTTGAAAATGAATATTAGCAGACAACAACAAATTCGTTAATATTAATATAAATAGTGTAATTGTGAATAAAGAAAAAATTATAAAAATACTTCACTTCTGGAGTGTTTGTGTTAATAATAATAATAATTCAATGAAAACACCAAATTAGATCAAATGTACTATGGAAAAGTTTGAACTTACAAGCTTTTATATTAATATATTTTATTTCCATAAAAATACTGGATTTGTTATTTGTTATAAATAAAACCATTGATCATTCAAGTTACCTCGATTTTCGGTAATTTATTCCTAAAATTTACTATGTATTACAAAAATAAATTTTAAAAATCACCCAAAATTTTAAAAATAATATTATATCATTTTAAATAACTTACTAAAAATTTAACATCATTAATTTGACTCTAATATGAGAGATCGAAAAGTAAATCAAAACTATCTGATGAGAAGCTAAAACTAAAACACAGGTTTGGCATGTGTTTAGAGATTGTGATCATCCGGTAATCATATGCATTTTCGGGCATAAATGAATAGGATATAAGCAGTACACAGAGTGCCACTGTCGATCTTATTGTCTATTGTGGTGATGCTTGTCTTTCTCTTGCTTATACTTCTTCTTCACCGTATCGATCTTGTTCTTAGATTGTATATCGATCATCGAAGTTTTGCCGGAATCATCCCACTGTTTACTCTCTCCCCCAAAAGGATCATGAAACTTTCTTCGATCAACATCGTCGCCACTGCATCGCTCCAGCAATCCTTTCTCCCTCGGCATCCTCCGAAGGCTCTACTGTTATTGTTATTCCCTCCTTTGCCTGCCATTGGGCTAGATGCATTAAAATACCTGGCAAAGACGACAAAAGATAATGAGACGGCTCTAGCGACAATGATTATTGGTTATTTCAATTAATCTTTTTTATTTGGATTAATCTCCGAAAAATACTTTACTTTTCTCTGACCTCAGTTTAATACATATACTTGTTTTTAGCTAAAAAAATACTACAATTGGTTTATCCCGAAACAAATTTCATACTTTCAAATTATTGGCCAAAAAAATCTTTACCGTCAAATATTCGCCACGTAGACAAACGAAAATCTTATGTGGCAACGAAAAATATCAATCTCTCTCATAACTATCTCCATATCATTGTCACGTCAGAAATTAAATAAAAAATTAATAATTAATAAATAAATTAATAATAATAACTTGAAAAAATAAAAATATAAAAATATATTTTTATTTTAAAAAAATATGTATATATAGATTTAGTAAAACATAATATATATTATTTGTTTGATTTAGAATTAATATTATCATAAAATTAAATTATTGTAAAATACGTATTTAAAGAAGTAAAGAAGTGAAAAAAATATGAATATCCTTTTGTAAACGGTTTTATAAAACCGATATCAATGATATATTATGAATGACCTATTGTTGATTTGTTTTCTTTAATCGTTATAAAAATTTAATTTAGTTATAAGATAATACTAAAAATTATATTATTAAATATTATAGTTATCTTTTATTTTTAAAATAGTTAAATTTACATACACATTTTTATATATAAATAATGCATTTTCGAATTTAAAAAACATATATGAACTTTCTAATTTTTTCTTTAATTGTACATTAGTTTTTACTTTTTTAATTATTTAAAAGCTTTGATGACATATCATTGTCGTATGTTAAAAAAATAATAACATATCATCATTGTCTGGTAAAAATTTCAATTAAAAAATATAAATAATATATATAAATCTATTCATAAAAATTAAAATATTAAAAATATAAACTATATATATACACACACATATACATACAAGAATAAATATATATATATGTATATATGTATATATATATATATATTTATCTGTGTATATATGTATTTATATGTTTTTATGTTTTATGAATATATCTATATATATTATATCTTTATTTTTTTAATTGAGTTTGAGTCTTTTGTTAATTTGACTGTGTAGTTTTGATAGTCTGTTCTGTTGACCTCATGTATAAATGTTTATAATTTTATTTCTGCTTTTAAATCTCTACGATAAATATCTTACTTTTACACCATTGATCTGAATTGAAATATAAAGAAAGTAAACAATTACAAAACCACCCTTGAAAAATTATAAATTTAATTTTTTAACGTAGTGTTTTTTTCGCTTTGCTTGTAATTCCATAATCTACGTAAAGGTTTGTCAGTTTAAATTCCACAGCACGTAGACTTCTACGCATCCTAGCCGGGTTCAGCTTCCTAGCAAACCAAATACCAATTCAGATTTTATTAAGGAAAAACGGAGACGGAGTAAAATCGACAGAGACAGAGTTGACATAGCCGGCGAGACGTCGGAGAATCGGCGGATGTTAGATTTGTCAGAGAAACTATCTGAGATTGAGAAGGGACTGTCATGAATACCGTTTCTTCTTTTAATTTTGTACTCTACTAAATATTAACTATCTTGAAGATATATATATATATATATTCATAGTCATATACATATATAAATACCTTGTTCATACACATGTCCAAAATTATATATTATATATATATATTTTATATACATATACATGTATTATATTTTCCGTTTTGAATGACTGAATTTAAATTTGATTTTTATTACATTTAAAAAATTTATTTATTTTTATTAAAAATAATAATTATTATATGACAAATCAATTAAATTTATCAAAATTTCTCTCGACGTTTATTTTTTATTCCATTTTAAAAATATTTAATTAAATTTTATAAAAAAACTTATAAACATCTAGGTAAAAAAATATTTATTAATCATTTTTCTAATATATATTTCATTACTTTACATATTATTTTAAATAAAAAATAAAAAAATTAACAAATATATATATATATGTATGTATATACACACAATTTCATAATTTAGTTTGACCAACATAATATGCATGGATATAAAATATAACCGATAATAGAAGAATGATTAATATAAAATATAAATATTGATATGGTGAGGATGTTAGATAATAATGATATTTTTGTCTTGAATTTTGAACTACTATATTTATATTAAAAAATTATATATTTAAATTTATTTAAAATATTTAGTAATTATATAAAAAAAATTAAACTATTAGATTTATTTACAGTAAGTTTTTTATTTTTTAGATCTCCACTTTATATTAGCAAATCATATGGTGTCTTATACATATTTAATAAATGATAAGGTTTTCTATACATTTTTTTCAAAACACGTGTTTGTTTATGAGTTGGATTAATATATAAAATACAATTAAGCTCATCAACTCATTGATTCACTGTGTTTTCAAATAGATCTATACCATCTTCCATAGATTTCTCTCACTTTCTTTTTTCTCCTCATATTTGTCAATTCTTCAACTTCTATATTCATCCATGTTTCTGATATCATAAAATATAAATGTATAAAAAGTAATAATAACAATAATAATAATAATAATAATCTAGCATTCGTTTATAAGTATATGCAGATAATGTAGATTTTAACAAACCAACAAAAATTAAATAGAAAAAGAGTAAATAATACATTTGACATGAGTTATGGCAATACGTCTCTTTATTTTCTTTTTAATATTTTAATGTGAGCATTAGTGGATATGACAGTAAGTTTTTTTTATTTTAAATTTCTTATTTTTAAATCTTCTTTGATACTTTGACAAATTTGATATTTTTTTTTGTTTGCCAATTCTAGCAAGTCGGTGTAAACATTTCTAAAATTTATCTTGAAATCACTAACAATGAACTTGTTTTCATAAATTGGTTTTGGTCTTATTATATTCTTAGGAATTTGACCAGAATACAATGTTTTCATTGTTACGTAGAAGATATCAATGAGCATTATAATATACATATAATTTAATTGTACCGATTAATCATCTAAGAAGTAATATCAATTATGTTTTTTAATTAAAAAAAGTATACAAGACGATGTCGAGAATACAAGACGACTTAATTCTTTCGTATTCTCTAAAAAGTGGATTTTTTTGTGTTATTTGTTGTTTTCAAAACATGAAAATCTTATTTTATTCACATCGTGACATCTCGAATTGGGTGGACCTCTAGCGAAATCACTTCAAAGCCCAAAGTTATAGGCATATACATATTGATGAGCCCAAAACGTTTTTCAGGACAGCGAATCTGTTTCCAAGGAGGAAGGAGCTCTCAATCATTTGACCACCGTTTGGAATGTGAGATTTTGTGAAGCTTCGTTCGACTCGAGTTCTAGGGTTTTTTCTGTCTTCGAGTCGAGCAATATCAACCCTGGCACCAGTGGTAAACCATCTCTCCCCATTTGGGATCTGTATCCTAGATCCATAAGATAGATAGTTGACTTAGTTGATATAGCAATGAAATCAAAGATTGTTTTAAGTTATTCATGCAATGAATGATCGCAGAATGTTTACTTCATGGGACCAATCAAGAAAAGCTCCCAAACGACGTTGTTATCTTAGAATTGTACCACCATACTCATTCTTTCACTTTCACACCTTTTTAACACCAATAAACAATCATGAGAGATTTCATTAATTAAAAAAAAAAAGTGGAAATAAAGGGTTTGAGTGTATCTAATTTTCAACTCATTTCTTTCATAAATTCTTCCCCGCCAAAGTCAGGCCTAGTCATATGCCTTTCACGCATAAGTTTCTTCTCAACCACAACCTACAATAAAACCAAAGAAAATCCTTGTGGTCAGCTTACTATTGTGATAATAAAACTCAAAATGACTATAAAGGAAATTCTGAAATCAGTAAAACTGAAAATCTTTACATGCATGCAAGGAAAAGAAGAAATCAATCGGATATGTGTGGTTAAGAAAAGGTTAAAAATAACACTATAACATATAACATGAAGTCGGGTGTCAACTAAAAAAAAAATGAAGTCGGGTGAGGTGACGTATATATATGCTAAAAGAAACTTAACTAATTAAAAGTGATAAAATTATAATGTTATTTTTTCGAATGTTTTTGACTTCGTTCACCAAGCCTACGCGAGATAAATATAGGAGTTGAGGTCCGCCGAGTTTAAGAGAATGACTTACATTTACTTTAATAATAATTATGGCTTAGTGGGGTGACCGTTTTTTTTTATTAGTGGATCTAAATGCGTTTTCCCACAATTTTTGGTTTATACTTTATTAATATATTTACTGTTTTTTAATAAATAGTGGGCTAATATTTATTATTTATATATTCTTATATTTATGTATGTACGTTTTATCACTCTATTAGTGGGTACATATATTTATAGTTTGATATTAATGTGACCGTTTTGTTATAATTAGTGGACTAATCTTTATTATTTATATTATGTGTCCATTTTATCATTTTATTAGTAGGCTAAATAATATTATTTAATTAAAAGAGTTTATCTTTTAATTAAAAATCAATAAAAATTAAATAAAATGCGAACTTTATATAGTGATTTTTGTTGACATAAAATCATCAATGTAACAATTAAAATTTAAATATAATATATAAACCAATGATAAATCATCTTAAATTTTTTTATGTTATATATGTTATTTATATTAAGATAAAATCATCAAGTACATTTATCTCCACTGCTTTTATTATTTTTTCAATGTTTTTTTACAACTATTATTGAATTATGTGTAGCTATTAATTTATGTAATTAATGAGTTTATAAATGATAAATAAAAATTTAAAATAAAATGACACATAGATGATGAGTTGGATCCTAGGTGTCCTCACCATATTCCTTCAAATCAAACTTTTATATATATAGATTACTTTTTTTATTATTAGTTATTGGGTTTAATCATACTCCAAATATGTATTTTTCTAAAATAATAGTTGATGAACTTAGACAAAGATTCAAAAGCGTTACAGAATTCTATATCTTTACACTGATTAATTAAGAGGAAAAAAAACCCCGATGGCTAAATTTCCACTATCTCAATTCGACAGTTTCATTTTACAAACTGAAATGTGAAATCTAGTAAAACTCCCCTTAGGCTTTAAATAAAATAAAATGAAGTGAAAACCTGTACCCAACTCCAAAAATTACTCGTCATCATTCAGTCACATTCCCCTGCGGTATTATTATTATTATTATTATTATTATTATTATTATTATTATTATTATTATTATTATTATTATCGCCTTGCCACGTCCAAACGATGTCCTTCAACGCGGGTCTGACGTCTTCCTCGTAGAACCTGTTGTACTCTAAAGTGTCGCCGGAGGATTTGCAGAACTCAACGACGGCAACCTCCGGCGCCACCTCGAACACCTCCGCCGTCACCGACAACCTTCCCTTCCTCCCCTCCGTCTTCCCCTCCATCTTCACCTTGAAGTCCTTCGTCTTCTTTACCTTCATGTTCATCTCATTCCCAACCCCTTCGATCTTCGCCATTATCGCCGATGCAGACCACTTCGATGTGAACATTGACCTCAGCCTCCTCTTGCTCTCGAACAGGCTCGACAGATCGAATCCCGACGACATCGATGATATGAACTCGAACGCGTTGAAGAATTTCGGCGAGATCGGTTTCTCTGATTCATCTCCTTCTTCGTTGTTGTTGTTGCTCGGTGAAGATATTGCTTCGTCGATTTTGAAAGACAGTGGGCGAGTGAAGTTCTTGCGGAACCACAGCGTTCGCATGATGGCTGGGATCGAGATCCGTTTCGCTGGATCCGCGACGAGAAGTTTCGAGATCAATCTTCTCGCGTCTGAAGAAATCCACATCGGGGATTCGAATTCGGATTTGAAGATTTTCCGGTACATATTCATCAGATTCTCGTCCTGAAACGGGAGAAATCCGGCGAGGAGCACATAAAGGATGACGCCGCAGGACCAGATGTCGGCCTTGGCGCCGTCGTATCCCTTCTTCCGGAGAACCTCCGGCGCCACGTAGGCCGGAGTCCCACACTGCGTGTGGAGCAATCCGTCTTGCCAGAGCTGCTCTGGCAACGCCGATAATCCGAAATCCGAGACCTTCAGATCTCCGTTATCGTCAAGGAGGAGATTCTCCGGTTTCAGATCCCGGTGAGAGACGCCTCGGCTGTGGCAGAAATCGACGGCTGAGATCAATTGCTGGAAATATCTGCGGGCGACATCCTCCTTGAGCTTGCCCCTAGCGACCTTAGCGAAGAGCTCGCCGCCTCTGACGTACTCCATCACGAAGAAGATCTTCGTCTTGGTGGCCATGACCTCCTTCAATTCAACGACGTTAGGATGACGAACCAGTTTCATAACCGAAATCTCTCGCTTGATCTGTTCCATCATCCCCTGCTTCTTTATCACCTGGTCCTTGTTGATCACCTTGATCGCGACGCTCTCCCCGCCGATGACCTCCTTAGCGTAATAGACCTTGGCGAAGGTGCCTTTGCCTAACAACCTCCCCATCTCGTACTTTCCGCTCTTCCTCCATTTTTTCCGGAGAAAGAAGAAGGAGAAGAAGAGGAAGAGAAGAACGGGGAAGAGAACGTGAATCCGAGGAGGATTAAGAACGTGTGGAAGAAGAGTCGATGAAAGTGGTATTGCGGCGAAGAGGAAGCCATGGGAGAATGGAGAATATACTGAGAGATGACAAATCCATAGAGAGCACAATCCCAGACCTGATGGAGATGGAAACCTAATTGGAGAGAGAGAGAGAGAGAGAGAGAGAGAGAGCACCTTGGTTACCTAAAGCCCTCGGAGTCTCGGAACAGAGTATTTATTTCAACCTTTTTTTTTTTTTTGCTCTAACCGCCATTTTTTTCCTTATATTCCGAGATATGGTCTTTTTTGTTTGCGTCCAAATCGTATTATTAAATATAATAAAAATTAAAAGAGATATATATATATATATATATATATATTTCATAAAATATAAAATCTATCTTGGCATCACCGTTAAAACATATATATGTTTATTGTCATTATCCTCTATTAATAATGTGATTGTTCTCTAGTAGCTTAAATCAGGATAAAATCATATAAATTTGGTATCATATATCATATACCCCTTGACCAATAACATCATCCGAATGGCAAATTCTTTTAAAATAAACAATTTCATGACAATTATCTCTAATAATTTTTCAAATTTAACAAAAAATTATCATTTTGGTTTTATATTGTTCATGTAATTTCCCAAAAATAACGGATAATAACGCCAAAATCCTTTTTTAGGAATATATTTTTGAAAAATTTCATAAAATTTGAAAATTTTCTATATAAACAAATAAGAGCCAAAACTATGTAAAATCTGAAAATAATACATTAACTAACTTTGAAACTTTAGATAGAAATATAATATATTTGAATAGATATAAATCTATTAATATTTAGAAAGATTATATATTTATATACAAACTTCAAATAACTATTACTACACAAATTCATGTATTAATCTGCTAATTTTTCTAACCATAATGGGTTAGCCAAATGTAACATATGCCTGGATAGATATCCTAAATTAACCGAAATCTTTGACATATTTTTTATTCAATTAAAATGTATAATATTTTATCTCTCAGCTAAATTTGCCAACAAGTTATGGCGGGGTCAGTCATATGCTTTTGATTTGGACACCGTCCTATAATTCGGTCTATTGGTTTAGTTCACATTTAATGATGTAATATAATACTACCACTCCGGTTTCTTCCAAATACCTATCCATCTGAGTGACCAAGAGAAAACAACATTCACATGCCCTTACGACACATTTGCATATAGACGCATGCCATTTGGACTATGCAATGCACCCGCAACTTTTCAAAGATGCATGATGGTTATTTTCTCCGATATCATTGAAGATATTATGGAGGTGTTCATGGACGACTTTTCCGTCCATGGACCCTCCTTTGATACGTGTTTAACCAATCTTCATCGAGTGTTAGACAAGTGCCTTAAGGCGAATTTGGTTTTGAATTGGGAGAAATGCCACTTCATGGTGCGAGAGGGCATTGTATTTGTTCATCGAATTTCGGACAAGGGGATAGAAGTGGATAGAGCGAAGGTAGAAGTAATCGAGAAGCTGCCACCACCGACCAATGTTAAAGGGATACGAAGCTTTTAGGTCACGCCGGATTTTACAGGAGATTCATCAAAGATTTTTCGAAGATAGTGAGACCTTTGACTGCACTTTTGGGCAAAGACGTCCCATTTGAGTTCAATGAAGAGTGCCACAAAGCATTCGGAATATTGAAAAAGGCACTAGTATCACCTGCGATTATCCAACCCCCGGATGGGAGTGTTGCTTTTGAGTTAATGTGTGATGCTAGTGACTTTGCGGTCGGAGCCATATTGGGACAAAAGAAAGATGGGAAGCATTATGCCATATACTACGCAAGTCGGACGCTCGACGACGCTAAAATGAACTACTCCACTACGGAGAAAGAGCTCCTTGCTGTAGTATTTGCCTTCGAAAAATTCAGATCGTACTTGGTGGGTTCTAAAGTTATCGTCTACATGGATCACGCCGCATTGAGGTACTTGCTCACGAAGAAGGATGCTAAACCAAGGTTGATCCGATGGGTGTTGATTTTGCAAGAGTTTGATTTAGAGATCCGTGATAGGAAAGGAACGGAGAATACCGTGGCGGATCATGTATCAAGATTGGAGATACCCGAAGCTATCCCAATTGATGATTCACTAAGGGAGGAACACATCTTATCTTTGGAGATCAAGAACGCGGCCCCTTGGTATGCGGATTACGTCAACTATTTGGTTACCAATGTGGTACCCCCGGAGTTGAGCTATAACGGGAAGAAGAAGTTCCTCCATGATGCTAGAGACTACTTTTGGGATGAACCTTTCTTGTTTAAGAGGGGCAAGGACGGACTATTTCGAAGATGTATTCCGGAGGAGGAAGTGCAGCAAGTCATACATCACTGCCATGCCTCGGATTATGTGGGCCATTTCGCCTCGGCTAAGACCGCTGCAAAGATCCTACAAGCGGGCTTCTATTGGCCAATATTGTTCAAGGATGTTCACACTTTTGTAAGCTCATGCGATGCTTGTCAAAGGACCGGCAACATCTCGTGGAGGAATGAAGCACCACAAAAATACATCTTGGAGGTGGAACCCTTCGATGTTTGGGGAATAGATTTTATGGGACCATTCCTATCGTCTTGCGGCAACCTATACATTCTTGTGGCAGTTGACTATGTGACGAAATAGGTAGAAGTGCTTGCTAGTCCGAAAAATGATTCAAGCACCGTGTCACAAATGTTCAAGAGGATTATATTTCCTCGGTTTGGAGTCCCAAGAGTGGTGATAAGCGATGGAGGGGCGCACTTTGTTAATAGAGTGATTCAGAGCATATTGACCAAATATGACGTTCACCATAGAGTAGCCACCCCGTACCATCCCCAAACGAGTGGCCAAGTGGAAGTCTCTAACCGGGAGATCAAACAAATCCTGGAGAAAACAGTGACTAAGTCAAGAAAAGATTGGGTTTTGAAGCTTGAAGATGCGGTTTGGGCCTATAGAACAGTGTTCAAGACGCCTACCGGGATGACTTCGTTCCAACTCGTGTATGGGAAAGCTTACCATCTACCGGTTGAGTTGGAGCACAAAGCATATTGGGCTATAAAGGCATTGAATAATGATTGGAAGACCGCAGCCGAAAAACGGATGTTAGAGCTCCATCACTTGGAGGAAATTTGCTTGGACGCATATGAGAACGCACAGATCTACAAGGAGCGGGCCAAGAAGTGGCATGATAGCCACATCCTCAATCGAAGCTTCCAACAAGGTGACCTCGTTCTCTTATTTAATTTCCGACTAAAACTTTTTCCAGGAAAGCTAAAATCAAGATGGTCAGGACTGTTCATCATAAAGAGCATCACCTCTCATGGATCGATGGAACTTGACAACGGAAAGGTCAGATCTTTCATGGTCAACACTCAAAGGATCAAACCGTACAATCCAGGGAGTATTAAGTCGGGAGGAGGTACCTCTGTACTCTTCCTTTCTTTGATCGATTGAAC